TAAATTCAGAAAATGAATTACCAAATTATGGGGAATTACAAGGAACTGCAGATAATCATCTGGGCATCAAGAAGACCCTGTGTGACAGTGAACCGAGTCTTACTCTGGAAACATCTGAGAAAAGCAAACCAGTCGAATGCTGGGATACAGAACAAAATTCAGCATCGAAAAGCCAGTTCCAAACAGATGGTGATGTAAAAGAGAAAATTCACAAACCAGAGAATAAAAATGATCCACTGGGTTTTTATGAAAACAACATCAAAGATTTCAGTCAGGATCTTTTTAATGATGAACAGGATCAGAAATCTGAGGGGTCCCAAGAATTGACTCCAGACCAACCTTTCTCTCCTCACCCCTCGTCTAGTGGCTTCAGTTTAACAGGTACCAAAACTTCTGAAGAAATTGGCCACTTGGAAGACATATGGAGTTTCAGAATGGAAGGTAAAAACTGCTTGCCGAGAATAGAAGAACTAAGCTTCCATAATGAAAAAAAGCCTCAGTATAAGCCTTGATAAAATACTATGGGGAAAAGAAACTGAAGGCACCTCAGATCAGAAGGTTAAACATAATGAATCAGATAACAGTAATGCAGATACCTCCAGAGAATGATCTTTCTCTTCAGCTGGCAGTGCAAAATAACAAACAGGGCAGTGGAGGAAAAAAACCCCAACATCATCTACCAGATTAGTAAAAGATAGGACAACACTTGATGCTCTTGCTGATAGCCTGTCAGGAGAGAATTACAAACTGAACCAATTCCTATGAACGTGCAACATCAGCAGAAAGGTGAAGCAGAAATAACATGGGAAAATTCATGTTCCCAACATGAGCTTCTGGTACCAGAGAACGGGTCAGAGGACAGTCTTAATCCAGATCTTAGAAAGAAATATAAAAATCACATGTGATAACAGTAAAAGAAAAGATTATTCTGTATCATCAGATATAGGCCCATCAATTCAAGCTGTTATGACAGTGCAAGATACAAAAACACAGAAAATTAATCTGAGTTTTGGAAGGCATCATCAAACACTACTTCAAAAGGCACAGTAATACCAAAGTCTTCAGCTGAATCCAAGTCCAAAAAACAATTTATAAAGAAAATTTATTGACAATAAAAGCAACAGAGCAGTCGTGATATTAGTCTGACTGAACGTGAACTTTTACCCTAGAAGCCCTCTAAAATAGAAGACAATTTTAAAGGAAAAAAAAAAAAGCATTACAGTTAGTGTCTCCTAAAACCCTCAAACTAGAAAGCCAGGCTGCTGTTAAAAAAACTAGATTAATTCAATCCCAGCAACCTGGGATTTCTCAGAAACCTGGCTGATACAGTGTATGTTGAAAAAGAAGATACTGTTGTAACTGAAAGGATGGATAATACTGAAAAATTAATTATTGCTACTAAAACAAGATAGGAGAAGGAAAGAAAAAAAGAAAGAATCTGAAAATCGGAGAGAGTCAAAGTCCAGAAATATAAATAACAAAAATTAAATTCTAACAGAAAGGGTTCAGGGTTCCAGGTAGAATATTTACCAGACCACCAGGGTTCTTTGCAAATATATTTAATAAAACTAACAATTAAGCCTGTAGAAAAAAGTCTGAGGATACATGTTTTGTCAAAAAAACCCAAATGAAAATAGGGATGACACTAGGACTAGTAGAATTAAATACTGCACGGAAGAATGAGATGGAGTTAAGAGAAAATGAATCTGAGCAAGAAAAAGATACTACTAAATCTGTAGAAGGTGCAGAAAGTGATGAAATCAATTTAGAAATCATGCAAAACCAATTTGAGGAAGGACAACTTGGCATTTTGGAAAAAATACTGCTGCAGAATCCAGCGAAAACAAGGACATTGACAAAATCGTAGTAGGGCAGACAGAGTTCATGTCCCAAAACCCAAGCAAAACCAGGCAAATATTGTATGATAAACACTCAGATTTACCAAACCCATTGATTACATTCCAACAATTTTATTGAAAGTTAAAACAAGATGTTAAGCAACCCTTAGAGCATCTCGGTGAAGGAAGCAAACTGATGCAGCTGCAGCAGCAATTTGGAAAGATTCATCATGACATCACAGCTTACTCATATAAAGACAATGTTATGCAGAGGAAACAAGTGATTGCGTCTGCACAAAAGGGGCACAATTTGGACGTTGGGCAGGAAAAATGTATGAAAAAAAGGAATGTTCTTCTAGAGCTGCCAGAGCTTTTGTCTGCTATAACAATTAAGTGTGCAGCCCAAACTGCAGCTAAAGGTACTGGACTAATGCTTCACTAACAATGATTTAGCAAGAACAAAATATGCTTTGTTTGAGGGAAAAAATACAACAGACACAACACTCTCTCCTTCTGGTGATTTAAAATCAAGAGGTAGCGAGCCTAACTCATAGTAGTTAATGACTGATTTATGATATTTTGAGGATCTGATAATACAGATTGAATTAATATAATAGTAACAGTTTAAGAGCCAGTTACTCTTCCTGACTTTCAACTATCGGACTATTTGTGATGGGTATCTTTGGCCAGTAGTGGCTTGAAGCACAGAATTAAAAACTAATCAATTTGTAAATGGTATTTTTTTTCCTACGTGGGTAAGCAAGGTGTGGGGGTTTTTGAAAGCGGTATTTTATTTGCTTCAGGAACCTTACTCCAAGTCACTGAAACTGAGGCAGCTACGTGCCTTCAGTCATACTTCTGCATGAACATGCCTGTGGTTTCTTGTATTTCGCAGTGAAGTTTGTTATCTTGTGGGAAGTTGTTAATCTTCAATCCTACATGGCATTTTTAATTGTTCTTTTTGTAAAGGTTTTCCCATTTGTATTTGGATATAATATCCGAAAGAGACCTACTAATCCTGAACAGGGAATCTATAGGCTAACTATCAAAACCAAGCATATTTTTTCCTGAACATTAACTACTTTACTACATCAGTTCTGCTTAAAGCCCTATCCTCCAAAGTCTGTTCTGAGACCATTATTTGAACCAGTATTTATTAAATCATAAACCTGTAGCACATTTTTACTCTCATGTAGCACTCTAGTCTTTGGCTTTAAGTTGAGGAAAATACAATTTAAAAAAATCAAAATCTCTATTGAGGTTAGTATCTCATAAAAGTGTGTGTGTAAGTTGAATCCTCTGAAAATAACCATGATTTCCCTTCACAATTAATTGCAGAAGTAGGCAGTAGAAGAAAGCTACTAGAAGAAACACCAGAGAAGGACCATGAAATGAATGCAGCTGTAGACAGTGAACATGACAGTGACCAACATTCAAAAGCAACAGTGATTCCTGCAGTAAATTCTGAAGAAAACATGGACAGTTCAGTAGCTGACTCTCCATTTGATGTCAAAAAGCCTTTCTCAGATGCCATCCAGAACTACGTTCCAAGTAATGGTAAGTGTTAAGTTTCTTAATTTTAAGGAAAATAAATTTGCAATCTTAAAAAAAAAAAGTTGGAATTATATTGACAATTGCAATGTAACCTTTTTTTTCCTTATGAACAAACCAGAAGGAGGCTGGATATATCAGATACTTCTGTGCTTTAATGCTCTTGAGATCGGGGAATTGATAAAATCTGTATTTTCAGCAGTGATGAGTATTATCAAAAAGGTAAGAATTTTTTATGTGATACATTGTTGACATTAGTGCAAAATTAAGCCAGTTATTGGTTATGTTCTGCAATGAAGCTCCTAAAAAAAGAAAGAAAGAAAAAAAGATCCTTTTAAATAAACCCTCTGCAGTCCCCTTGCTTCTGGGGGTATCTGATGCTAAACGGGATAGAGATGGAGCAAGAAAATGTCAGCTTAGCTGCTGTTCATCTGCCCCTGTTGTTTGCACTGCAGAATGTGATGAACTTAGTGGGTTTTTTTTTTTACAGAACAGCCAGGAAACACCTCAGTGGTCAAAATATCAGCATTTGGGGTTTGTTTTCAAATGAAACTCATAGCTTCCTCTAGTTCCCATGACAGTACTGATTAAATTTGCTTGGACTTAAAAAGTTTGCGTTAGGATGAGTAAAATAATCACAATACTTCCATTGTTTCTAAAAAGTAATTTGAAAGCCTTGATTCCCAAATATTCCCATAGTTCATAATTGCATAAAAAATACTTTTCTAAGCAAATATATAAAATACAAAATGGGATTATGATTGCTATGGGGATGTCTTAAATATCAAAATGTAGGGACAGAGTAAAGGTTGACCTTTCTGGACATAACTGCACAAGAAACAATGCTGCCAGAGGAATGTGAGAAAAGATAGATGGTGTTGCACTGTCCCCTCTAAACAGAAGAGTACTATCAGGTAAAGTGGTATATGGTAAACTTCATTAACTTTGGCACTTTGGTTTGTTTAGATTGGGTAACTGAAGGTTAAGAACAACATTAATTTGTTCCTGATTTCCAGCGTACTTACATAGATTCTGGCAAAATTGCAGCCTTCAGCAAAACTGAAGGGCTTTGCTTTTTTTTTTTTTTTCTCATGAAGCAGACTGGATTTCAGTGCTCGTTGATAGTTCACTGCTGTGGCCAAACTCATTCCTGTATTGTTTGATACAGCTAAAAAAGCCGCTTCCACCTATCATGGTCTTTTAGGTGATAACCAGTTTCACAGGCAAGTCACATTGCATTGTGAAAACTGAGTTAGCATACGTTAAAAAAAAAGTGTAGTTAAGTACATGTAAAAAAATTAAGAAAAAATATAATGCAAAAATGGAACTGGCCCTAGCGAATGAGATGGAAAAGAATCCACTGCTATGTGGCACTGCAGCCACCGTTTCTCGCATCTTCCCACACATTTGTGTATCAGCAGCCCCGGTACCATCAATTTTTAACAAAAAAACTTAGCTGAAGAAATCTAGTTTAAATTATGTGGAACTACTCCCGGGCATAACGCGGCCCCGGCGCCGCTCCCCAGGGGGTGTCCCCCGGGGCACCTACGCAACCCACTTGCGCAAGAGCGAGAGCCCGCCGCCGGCCGGCCGCCACCTCTTGCCCTCCCCCGCCGGGCAAATGCCAGCTCCGGCGGCCTGTGCGGGAACGCGAGCGGCGAGGCGGCGCCTCTCCCCGGCTGGAGCCAGGCCCTTCCCGAGGAATCCAGCCCGGACAGTTGTGTTCTTGTAAAGACCTGCTGCTGCACGGGCACAGGGGAGGTGAGTTTCCCTGCGCGTAACTTCGAGGAGGAACAGGAGTAGCTTCGTGGCCAGCGGGGCCACGTCAGTACCGGAGGACGG